CTAGTAATACAAATGAAGAAAAAACATATGGAAACAATTACTTACATTAAAATGACTGCATATGTAGAAGCAACGAGCCGTGGTGTCCGGATGTCTCAATTGAAACACGTCGGCCGGACGACCACAGTCACAGTTAGGGACAGGGAGTTCAGGAGGGACAGGGCATCTTTGCTAGACTCATCGGAGTATAATTCTCTAGGACGACCCCATTTTCACCACAACAGCTCCCGAAACATGTCTTCCATCTAATAAAACGGTTCAAATTAAACATCAATCAAAACAACGTAAATTAATGTAAAATATAATCATTTGCATTGCAACTAAAATAATATAACCAACACTTATAGCAACAAAAATATACATGGTAAACATACTTCTAACTAAATAATTAACCTTAACATTAACAAAATCAAACTAATATCTTCCCCTCAAACTATAGCTCATAGTTCCCAAACATAATTTTCCTCCTAACCTTAACTTCCATTCATAACATTCCTATCCACCATTCAAACAAAAATAAAAAGTGCATCATTAGCTTGAACGAGGACGAGGAGGGAGGGAGGCGGCCGGGGAATGGAAGGGAAGGGAGGGAGGGAGGCGGCAACGGAGGGCTAGGTGGGCGGTGGGCGCGGCGGCCATGCGGGGGCAGGCGGCCTTGCTGCTCGGGCAGGCAGGACTGGCCGCGGGGCTTTTATTCGGCTCTGCCGCGCCATGGATCAGGGCGTGCCACTGTCACGGCAAGATTGGTGGCGCGGCAGGCCCTGCCACGTCACCGATCAGCCTTTGCGGCCATCGCCACATCAGCCACCTGCCACACCACCATGCATGGCGCGGCACAGGCTTTTCGCCGTGCCATGGCAATAGGCGCGGCCAAAAGTGTTAGTTTTGAAGAAAAAAACAGTGTTAGATTTAAAATTAGTTTATAAAAAGTGTTAAAATTAAAAAAAATCTAGGACGGGCAGTGCTCGCGTCGTCCTCACCTCACGTGTCGCGGTGTCACTGCCACCGCCACTCCCAGCCACACAGCTGGACAACCCGAGCAGATTGCTTTGCTATTCTTCACCGTCTCAAAATTTCAGCCTCTCCGGAAATCTACCGCGCCATGTTGCCGCCTAACGTCTACTATTCTACTCTGGCTCTCTGCTGCTGCAACTTGCATATCTCGTCATGAAAGGAGAGATTTTTTTCTCCCCTTGGCCTTGGGGGTCCCCTCGCTGATCTCTCGATCTCTTCAGTTTTGTCGCGTTGAGAAGCTGGCCTCCCTTCTTAACTGGTCAGTTGGAAGTGATTCGTGGTCGGAAATACAACTCGGTAATTCACTGATCGAGCATCTTGTGGAGTTCAACGATCAGTTCATCGCGATGGACACACTCTATCCTTGGCCCCCCAGCTTGGTCTGCAGGAGATGGTAACCGTGTGGTGGGACGACAACGACATGCATGGATGCCCATTTTGAAGGCCATGGCTGCTGGTATGTAGCGGCATGCTTCTAATTGTTGACTACTATTTGAGCTTCTCATCATCTGGAGCACCTGTCAACTACAAAGCCTACCTCCCAGACATGTCCACTGAACCTGCAACTTGGCTGGAGGTGGTGAAGCTGGAGAATGATACCGTGTTTATTGCGCGGGTGATGGGAGGAGCCCAACATTCTCTTGCTTGAGCTCAGGACGATGGGTGGGAGAAGCAGCTGATGTACTATGCCCATGACAGGCAACCGTGGGTCTTGCATGGGCTGGGTGATGATGCAGATGCCGTTTGGGATGATTCAACTGACCCCTGACCTTGAGTTTTGCAGGGGCTGGTACGGCGAGCTTCAGCCATTCTGGGTGTACCCGAGCATGTTCTACTCAGATGGGTACTGATCCTTGCCTGCCTTATGTTGCTGAAATTTCGCCTTCTGTGTTCTTTGGGCAGCGAAGACTTCTGCATCTGAATAGATAATGCCACTATGTGATATTGTAGTTAAAAGAGGTTGTTTAGCACTTTTCTCGTTCATAATGGTGACCCCTGTTTGCTCGAGCCTTCTCCCTAACTGAATTGAGGTTTTTAATAACGTGTGTGTTTGAGATTTCATTTTTGTCTAATGGCTAAGTAATGTGTGTTTTTGAAGAAAAAGTTGATGTATGCTTTTGATATATATATATATATATATGAAGAAAAACAACGATGTCTACTCAGAGATCAGCTTTCTGTCTTTTTCTCTCTTTTGACCGTGCTATTTAGATTAGGTTTTTCTTTTGGAATTTTGGAATTCAAATTTGTGGAAAGGAACATGTGTGTGTGAGACCAATGTTTACAATAATCAATCTATATATACTGTCAAAGAAAAAAAGAACCAAAATATAATTTGTAACGGTTGCCTCACAGAACAATATGGAACTGGAATTGACGTGAACAAATTTATATTCTATAGTAAACAATAACTAAAGTCCAATTTCAACATTCAAACGCGAATCACCTTTTTTATTTTGGTATAAGAAAATGTGTATAGTCGCTCAAAATGAATGAGGGCATATATATATACTTTCGAAACTAGAAGAAAAGCTATTAGGCCATTTGTAAGTTTCATAATTTTGGCCCAGACTTCCAATACGTGAAATCGCTACAGCCCTGGTCCAATTTTTGCCCATAAAAGAGAGCGTAGAGCATAAGGGAGCGGGACTGGAGAAGCGGCGCTACTGGAACTCAGGAAGTGAGGGAAGAGGAGATTGGGAAAGCGATCTCGACGCCGCCGTCGCCGTCGCCGGCGAACGCGGAGACACCGACATTATCAACGCCTACTTCCTAAGCAAGGCTTGTACTCTCACTCTCTCCCTGCCTGATTTTTTATTCTTTTTGGTTGGTTCATCCGCGCATCCCTATCTCCTTAGTCATTTGGTTCATCCACGCATCCCTGTCTCCTAGTCCTTCAGTTTGTTGAACCAACCAAGCCGATAAATTGCTTCGTGTGTTTGTTACTGTGATGTGATCTTGAATCGAGCTATTTAGATTAGGTTTGCATTGGATTATGGTGTGATGGTAAGATGTACGGTAGGGGAAAACCCTAGAACTAATAGACCTAAATGGGATGACCACCGCATTGCACGACCCGGGACGCTGTCCCAAATCGAGGGTCAGGGTCGAACAGGGTCGATGTCCCTGTTCTGCTTGGGTCATCGTTCCTCTATAGTAGGAACATACCATGGATCCATGAGCTATGTCGAAAAGCAGTAGAGAGGATTGGAAGGGAAAATGATGGATCTTGTTGTTGCTACGATGTGAGAGGCAACCGACATTGAAGAAGACTACCATAGAATTGGGGTGCAGGATGCAGGAGCAGGAAACATAAAATTAATCTGCCTCCAACAAAACCAAGAGCACAAAAGAGAAGAGGAGACAATGGGTGATCGATTTTCTAGTGTCTGCCTGCCTGGTGTGATTAGTTGGCTGGAAGCGGTTGGTTTCGGGTTGGCAGGATAGGTCATATGAAGGAGAAAGAGAAGGCTAGTATCTAATTGCCAGTAGAGACTCCCTCTATAGTCCCTAATTTCTTTTTTGCTTGGTTCATTTGGCACATCTGTACCTTATCTTTGGTTTCTTATAATCCAAACTAAGCAAAGGAATTTTGGGAGCATCATCCTCTGAGTTTTGATGAATGAACCCTATAATAGATGGCTATGCCCCATGACTAACAATGCTATGATAAAAGACTCCACTTTTATGTTAGTTTTTTTGGGGTGGGGGTCAACCCAGGATACTGAAGTATTTTTGTATGCAATGGTTGATCTGTGAAGGGTACACTAAATTGTATTTCAGAGCATAATTGCGCATTTTTTTGCCATACTTTTCACCTTAGTTTCATGCTTCACTAAAGTTACTGCAGGCCATCCTAAATATCATGTTCTGAAAATAGACATGGGTTTTGGCTATTTGGAAGAAAAGTTTGAATTGAAACAAGACATAAAAACTGGTTTTCCATTGTCAATCTGTCTTAGCTTGAACATTAGGATTTACCCAGCGAATAGAATTCCTTGTTTGTAACAGTGTATATCAACTTAAAAAGTGGCTCTTGTATAGCACGTATTCTAAAATGTTTGCAGGTTACTAAGTCTCTAGCAAGTTAACTGTCTATTCTTCATTTTTGAATCAATTCAATTCCAACTTGCTCATTTTTTTACTTTGTTGTAGAGAGTCTGACATCATGCAAAGCTTAGATAGCATAGTTGGTAGCTTGGAAATCGAAGTTGATGCGAATCTGAACAAAAACTTAGTCGATTTCGTAAATCAAAAAATGGTTCGACGAAGCTAAGTTCGATAATTTTTATAGGGGAATCGGGTAAAGCACTGGCATGGTCTTAAGGTTGGTTTTAGTAGCTTGATACACCATCTCGAACGTAAAAAGTGTGCAAGTCACGTTTTGAACAATGGCAGCGCCTGGGCGCGGTCACCCTGCTGGCTCTCGACGCGCTGCGCTGGACCGCCCGTCGCATGGCTCCGCACTGCTGGCCACGGCCACTGTTGCCACGCTCTGGCACACGCTCACGCCTGCACGCGCATCGCGCCAGCAAGCCTGGCTGCTCTGCCCGTCGTCGCGTCCGCCTACGCCACGCTACTCGCCGTCGTGTCGCGCTGCGCACCCAGTCACGCTACTCTCCGACCGTCGTTGCCGCGCAGCCACTTCGCCATCACGTCCGCGCTCGATGCCACGCCACGTTGTTGCCTCCCCGAACAGGCGTCAGTCACTGTGGCGCGTTGTGTTGTGCGTCATTGTCTTGCGGGTCATGACGCTGCGGTTGCACGTCACCGTGCCAGACTCGTACGCGCCATGGAGTCTTCCCCGTCGCGTTGCCGTCCTTCCCCAATTAGAAAATTTCGCCACGCCAAGCCGTCGTCACATCGCCTGCAATGGCGCCGCTCCGGCCGAGCCGCACCAAGGAGAACCGCAGAGCTTGGACCTATCTCTGTCCTTGGCCCCCCAGCTTGGTCTGCAGGAGATAGCAACTGTGTGGTTGGACGACATGCATGGATACCCATATACACAACCATCGCTGGTGGTATGTAGCGGCATGCTTCTAATTGTTCACTACAGCTTGAGACTCGCATCATCTGGAGCACCTGTCAACTACAAAGCCTACTGCCTGGACATGTCCATTGAACCTGTAACTTGGGTGGAGGTGGTGAAGCTGGAGAATGATGCCCTCTTTATGGGGCATGATGTGAGGAGCCCAGCATTCTCTTGCATGAGCCCAGGACGATGGGGCGGGAGAATAAACTATTTGTACTATGCCCATTACAATCAACCCTGGGTCTTGCATGGGATGGGTGATGATGCAGAAGCAGTTTGGGATGATTCCACTGACCCTGACCTTGTGCACAGCAGGGGCCTGTGCCTCAAGCTTCAGCCATTCTAGGTGTACCCGAGCATGTTCTACTTAGATGGACAGTGATCTGTGCCTGCCCTATGTTGCTGGTAGGAAGACTTCTGCATTCGAATAGATGATGTCACTATGGTACTAGCACTTACTTAGGCCTTGTTTGGATACATGTGTATTCACTCCAATTCACATGTGTTGGAGTGGAATTGAATGAAACTTAGTTTAATTCCAATCTAATCCACCTCAAGACATGTAGATTAAGATAAATACATGCGCATCCAAACAAGACCTTAGTAGTTGAAATAAGTCACTTTTCTCCTTGAGAGTGGTGCCCCGGTTTGAACGCTCCTTTTCCCTATCTGAATGAGGTGTTGGTAACGTTCTATCTGCATTTAAATAGTGTGTCTGAAGAAAATGTTGGTGTATGCTTTTGGAATACGAAGGGAAAACCCACTATGTGTACTCTGGTCTCAGGATCAGCTTTCTGTATTCTTTTAGCTTTTGAACTGAGATGTTTACATTATGTTTTTTTGGAATTCTAGAATTCAGATTGGGAATGAAATGTGTATGTCTGCAAGAATCAAACTATACTGTGAGGGAAAAAAAGGAGTGAAGATATAATTCGTAATGGTTACCAAACAGAAGAATGTGAAACTGGAACTGACGTGAACAAATTTATATTCCAGTAAAACAATAACTGAAGTTCAATTTTAACACTCAAATGCGAGTCACAATTTTTTTTTATTTTGGATAGGAAATAATTGTATAGTCGCTCAAAACAAATGAGGGCAAAATTCTGAAATTGGAAGAAATTGTTAGGCCAGTTGTAAGGTTCATTATTTTGGCCCAAACTTCCAATAGTCTCTACGGCCCTGGCCCACAAGGCCCAATTTTGGCGCATAAAAGAGCGTAGAGCAGAGCCGCAGAGGCGAGCGGAACTGGAAAGCGGCAGAGTGGGAAGACGAGAAAGGGAAAGCGATCTCGCCGCCGCCGGCGAAGGCGCCGGCACCGACGTCACCGATCGGCTCCTGCTTCTTAGGCAAGGCCAGCACTCTCACTCCCTCTTCCCGATTTTTTTTATTCTTTTTGCTTGGTTCATCCACGCATCCTGTATTCCTGTCTCCTCCTTAGTACTTCGGTTTGTTGAACCAAGCCGATAATTTGCTTCGCGTGTTTGTTGCTGTGATGTGATCTTGAACCGAGCTATTTAGATTAGGTTTGCATTGGATTTTGGTGTGATTATAAGATGTACGGAACGGGAAAACCCTAGTGTCGATAGACCTGAATGAATAGATTTATTAATGAACGGGAAAATGTGGGTACAGTGGATAGAAGTTTCAATCTTTGTGTGGTCTATTTTTTATTAAGGCTCTAATTCTTATCATTATTAATTATTGGTAAAAATCTGGTCTTGTAGTACGTTTTCCATGGAACAACTAGGTGTTTTAGCAGCCTGCATTATGCTTACTTTGTATTATCGTTGATATAGTTTACTTTGGATTATCGTTGTAGTCCACTTTAAAAACTGATGTTAGGGCTCTGCTCTCCTTAAACTCTGAAGCACAAAATTGCTTATTGTACTCATTTTGTCACTTTGTTGTGCATTTATGCCATTCGAACAAATTATTTCTTCTGTGTGTTACATACCATTCCAATTCTGCGATTTCAGATGCCTATAGGCTAATATCTAGTTGCCAGTGCAGTCTCGCTCTGTAGTTCCCAGTTTTCTTTTTTACTTGGTTCAATTGGCAGATCTGTGCCTGTCCTTCAGTGCTTTGGTTTCTTAATCCAAACTAAGCAACGGAATTTCGTCAGCATAATCATCCTCTGAGTTCTGATGAACCCTATAACAGATGGACCTCATTGATCAAGTAGATCCAAAAGGATGTATGCCCCATGACTAACAGTAACATGGCTATGGTTAAAGAATCCACTTTTATCTTAGTTAGAGGGGCCATGGGGCAAAGGAACGGGGGAGAAGTTTTCAACAGCTGAACCGTATCAGTATGACCGATGGATAGTAAGAATTCTATAGCAGATCAATTCGCTACAAAAATCGACAGAAATCAGAATGACAAAATCATAGCTGGATGTTCTTTGGAAATTCCGAAATTTCAACGAGACAAGTAGCTGTTGGGCCACTTGTAAGCTTCGTTTGGGCCTAGTACAGCCCTGGTTCACAAAGCCTAAATTTGGCCCACAACATAGAGCATACTACTACCACACAGCAGAGGGAGCGAAGAAGCAGGAGAAACGGCGCTTCTGGAAGCGACACTGTCATCGCAGGCGAAGGCGCCGGCACCAGCCGCGGCGCCGTCGTCGCTGATCGACGCCTTCTTCTTAAGCAAGTCCTCAACCTTAACACGAGTTTCCTTCTCTTTCTCTCTCTCTCTCTCTCTCTCTCTCTCTTTCTCAGTTCATTTCGCTCATATGTGTGCCTGCTCCTTAGGCCTATGGGTTTCATGAACCGATCCGAGAAATTGCCTCACGCGTTTGTTCCTTGTTGTTGTGGTTTCATCTTGAATCGAGATGTTACGTTTAGGTTTCGGTTGGATTTTGGTTTGATTGTAAGATGTACGGGTCATGGAAGAACCCTAGATCGATAGACCGTACCTGATCGAGTAGATTTTGAATGGAATTATGCCCCACGGCTAATGTGGCTACAATAAAACTATATAAGACACGGCTTTGATGTCTCGAACAGAAGTTTTTTTTTTCTTTTTTTCTTTTCTTTTTTCTGTATGTCACGGTTAATCTGAAAATGAGCAGTATCAGTGCACTAGTGTTTCTAATTTTGTTTCGGATTCTAATTCTTATCATTGCTGTCAGTAAATTTAGTAGTTTTCCTTGTAGCGGCTAGGTGTTTTAGCAGCCATCATCAGGCTTGACTATGGATCATCATTGATGTAGTCCACTTTATATCCTGATGTTAGGGCTCTGCTCTCCTTAAATTCGGCGTATTTATTATGCCATTTGAACAAACGTTGCATCTTTTCTTTCACTCATGTGGCATTTGTGCAGACTAGGCAAGTTGGAAGTAGAACTGGGAGCCTTTAATCTGGAGAACAAAAAATTCCTCTCTGTGTTACGTCAAATTTTGTGATTTCAGATGCCTGTAGGATAATATCTAGTAGGTAGTAGAAAGGCTTGCTCTGGCACCTAGTTCCCAGTTTCTTTTTAATTCATTTGGCACATTTGTGTCTTTTCTTCAGTGCTCTGATTTCTTAATCCAAACCAAGCAAAGAAATTTCATTAGTATCTTGTTTCCACTGGATTCTGCTTCTGCTGTACCCTGGAATAGATGGACTTCTAATTGATCAGGTATTTTCAAGAAGATGTTGCCCACGCCGCACATGGCTATGATAAAAGACACCAATTTATGGCCCTGTTCGCTTGAACTTATCAGTCGTACCGTTTCAGTGAAATAACAGTATTTTTCTCGCACAACAAATCAGTATCAGCATCAGCATCAGCATCAGCCGTTTTTCCAGCCAGCCGAACAGGGCCTATGTGAGGTGGGGGTTCAGCTCATGATATATGTCATGGTTGATCTGTGAACGGCAGCACATAATTGGTCATTTTTGTCATAGGTTTCACCTTTGTTGTTTCATGCTTCACTAATGTGTAGGTCATCCTAAATATTATGTTCTGTAAATAGATATGGGTTTAGGTAGTTTTGAAGAAAAGTTTGAATTCAAGCAAGACTTAAAAACTCTATTTTTTTTATCTGTCTTAGCCTGAACATAAGGGTTCACCCAGCGCATAGAATTCCTTGTCTGTAGCAGTGTATAACAACTTGACAATTCCTTGCCTACAACTGGCTTCAGATCTGTACTGGACAACACATAAAGATTAAAATGTTTGCATGCTACCTAAGTCTCTAGCAAGTTTACTGTCTATTTTTCATTTCTGATTCAGTTCTAACTTGTTCTATTTTTTTACTTGGTTGTAGAGAGTCTGACATCATGCAAAGCCCTAGCAAAATCGTTGGCGCCTCTGCCTCCACTACAAACCCTGCTGTGTATGGACTTCAAGGGTGGGCAGATCTCCCAGAAGGTCTGCTCCATTCCATCATTCCTCTGTTGAGCTCCTTCCTTGAGCTCCTCGCCTTTGCTGGCACCTGCCACTCTTGGCGCACCGTTTTTGGCTCGTACCCATCTAAATCCACATTTTGCACCTTGCTCCCGCCTCTCCTCGTCCGGCCCCATATCAGCGTCCGTGCTCCTAATCTACCTTCCAAAAGTGATGATGGGCACGAGCTCCGCACGTGTCAGGTTCTTGATCCAGCCAACATGAAAAGTACCCTTCGCTGCCAGATTCGTGAAGAGACATTTGAGAAGTTGCACTTTGCTGGCTCTTCCTATGGGCAACTAATTTGCGGTCGCGGCAGAAGTTGTCTTATCGTGGATGTGTTCACTGGTGCCAAAGTTTTACCTCCACAGCTCCCATTTTGCAACAACACTTATTTCTACTCTGGCATGCTGACAGCTCCCCTTGCATCGCCAAACTCACACCTCCTAGTTTGCGCAGCATCCAAACAGGGCGGTCAGTGCTTCTTGCTTGATTGGCTGATTGGAAGTGATTCTTGGTCAAAATTACAGCTCAATGATTCACGGATTGAACAGATTGTGGAGTTCAATGGTCAGTTCATCGCGATGGACTACCACTATAGGCTCCACAATCTGTCCTTGGCCCCCCAGCTTGGTCTGCAGGAGATAGCAACTATGTGGTGGGATGGCCTGGATGAATGCCCATATCTAAGGCCATGGATCGTGGTGTGTGGTGACATGCTCCTGATGGTCGACCATTACATAAGCCTTTCGTTCGATGGAGCACCTGTCAATTACAAACCCTTCCGCCTCGACATGTCAACTGTGCCTGCAGCTTGGGTGGAGGTGAAGAAGATAGAGAATTACTCACTGTTTATCGGGAGTGATGTGAGGAGCCCGGCGTTTTCTTGCGCCAGCTTAGGACGATGGAGTGGGAGGAGCAATTGCTTGTACTATGGGTATTACGATCCACCCTTGGTGTTGCATGGGCTTGGTGATGATGCAGATGCTGTGTGGGATCCAGACAATGACCCTGATGACCTTGTGTTCAAGAGGAACTGGTACATCCAACTGCAGCCCTTCTGGGTGTACCCAAGCATGCTCTATCGCTGATGGCAAGTGATCGATGTGCTCCATCTTCCTGTGCTGAAAATTTCACCTTAAATTTCCTCGGAGATGAGAGGCTTGCATTTGCAATGGATAATGCACATTGTGGTAGATGAGAGTTCGCAGACTTGCATTTTAGTTTCCAGCTGTGCTCCATTGCTACTTTTAATCTTTTGCATTAGTTATGAACTTGTTAGCTATTCTGGAAAGCCTGGAAGGCTGGATACTGTTATTCGAATGAGTAGTAGAAAAACGTTTGTATAATGTGTGTGAGCTTCCTACGTCCATGCAATTGCTTGTATGCAGGCATCTGGGGGTTGACTTTCTCTACAATCTGTTTGTTTGAAGGGAAAAATATCGTTTTATGCAATTGCTTGTATGCAGGCATCCGGGGGTTGACTTGTGCTCTACTATCTGTTTGTTTGAAGGGAAAAATATCGTTTTATGCACGCTGGATATGAAGCAGAAATCCAAATGTGTACAAGTTTTGTCTTCAACCGGCTCTGTCTATGATAGATTTTGGGGGCCTGGATTTTGACAGGGTCTGGGTTACCCAAGCAAAACAAACGTCAGAAAATGAATTGAACAAGAATTACTCCCTCTGTTCAAAATATTGGTCGTTTTAATATTTTTTTCTTTCTAAATCAAACCTCTTAAACCAAAATATGTTAACATCTATACAATACGAAATAAGTGCACTATCGAAACATATTTCATGGTAGGTTTAATGAAAACTGATTTGGTGTTGTTAGTTAACGTTGATGTAATTTCTATGAACTTGGTTAAATTTAAATCAATTTTACTTAACAAAACTAAAATTACGTACTTCTTGGATCAGAGGCGGACAGATGATAGCTTTTAAAATCACTCCATATTCTTTTTCTATTTTTTTGTTTTTTTAGAATTTCATATTCTTTTTTGTTGAGAAATGAAACCTAATCAGTTCACATGGCTCCACCTCCCGTCAGGATTTATTATGGAGTTGAATAATTGTTATTTTGTTCCTAGTTTAAGTTGAAACATTGTGTCACCTTCATGTTTGATGAAGGATGGTTATTCATTTGCGAGTAAAGACAATGGTTGTGTGATCTCTAAAATTGGCATGTTTGTGGCTTCTGCATCCATTGTGAATGGGTTATTTATTTTAAATCTTGAAGATGCTCCTGTCTATAATATAAGTGCTAAAAAGCCTCGGCTTAATGAGTTAAGTCCTACCTATATGTGGCATTGTCGTTTAGGTCATATAAGTGAGAATCGCAAGAAGAGGCTCCATTCTGATGGGCTTTTAACTTCGTTTGATTTTGAATCATACGAGACATGTGAGGCTTGCCTGCTAGGCAAGATGACCAAGACGCCTTTCATAGGTTTTCCTGAGAGGGCGACAGACTTGCTAGAACTCATACATACTGATGTGTGCGGACCAATGAGTATGACAGCAAGAGGCGGATTCCAATACTTCATAACCTTCACTGATGACTTTAGTAGATATGGCTATGTCTACTTAATGAGACATAAGTCTAAGACATTTGAAAAGTTCAAGGAGTTTTAGAGTGAAGTAGAGAATCAACGTGGCAAGAAAATTAAGGCTTTGCGATCTAATCATGGAGGCGAATATTTGAGCCACGAGTTTAGCAATCATCTAAAGAGTTGCGAAATTGTTCCACAGCTTACGCCACCTGGAATGCCTCAGAGAAATGGCATGTTCGAGCGACGTAATCAGACTTTGTTGGACATGGTTCGGTCTATGATGAGCCAGTCAGACCTACCGTTATCATTTTGGGGATACGCTCTAGAAACAACCGTTTTCACATTGAATAATGTACCGTCTAAGTCCGTAGTTAAGACACCACATGAGATGTGGACTGGTAAGAGTCCCAGTTTGTCTTTTCTGAAAATTTGGGGTTGTGAAGTTTATGTCAAACGACTTATGATAGATAAACTAACACCCAAGTTAGACAAATGCTTTTTTCGTGGGATATCCAAAGGAAACTTTAGGGTATTACTTCTACAACCGATCAGAGGGCAAAGTGTTTGTTGCTCGGAACGATGTTTTCTTAGAGAAAGAGTTTCTCAAAAGCAGAAAAGTGGACAGATGGTGTATCTTGAAGAAGTTCAAGATGAGCCAGTTGGGAAGGACTCTACGAGTGATGCTAATGTAGCAGAAAGTTGAGACACCCATGGCAATAGAAACACCGCCACAACCACGAAGGTCAACAAGAATCCGTGAGTTGCGTGGGGATTTGTTATTGTTAGATGATGACGAACCTGCGACTTATGCGGAAGCAATGATGGACCCAGATTCTAAGAAATGGCAAAGTGCCATGAGATCCGAGATAGATTCCATGGGAAACAATCAAGTTTGGAACTTGGTTGACCCGCCTGATGGGGTTAGACCCATAGAGTGCAAATGGATCTATAAAAAGAAAAAGGATATGGATGGAAATGTTCACGTCTATAAAGCTCGACTTGTTGCAAAGGGTTTTCAACAAGTTCAAGGAATTGACTATGATGAGACTTTCTCACCGGTAGCGATGCTTAAATCTATCCGGATCATTCTAGCAATAGCTACTTATTTTGATTATGAGATATGGCAGATGGATGTTAAAACAACCTTTCTGTAACAACCCGGGTTTTTGGAGAAGCCAAAAATACGAACTTTTTAAAAATTTTCCTGCAATATGTGAAGCATGTAGATGCTAGGTCAAACAAAGAACAATTTATAAATAAATTGTTGCATACATATAGTGATGCTTGTAGGAGCTTGCCAAAGTTCCTTATTTGGTTTAGGGTTTTGTGTTGGAGAGCACAAGTCCGTAGCAAATCCTTTTGATCCCTTCTAGAATATCTTATGAATCCCTTTTCCTCTCTCTCAATTCATCTTCTTGCTTTTGAACCTCATTCGAATCCCTTGATCTAATTCATAAAGTCAATCGACCTTCCTTGTAAATCAATGCCCATCGTTGCCAACCCTTGGCATTGGACTCCCTAAACCCTAATGTCCCTTAGTGGACCCCACTAGGATGTATTCATGCTTGGCAACGCATGTATACACTCATAGAGACCCAAGGTATAGTTAGAATGGAAAAGTAGAAATAGAAAAGACTTAGAAAAGAGGAGAAAATGGAAAAGGCCATTTCGGCCAAGAGCAACCGCGTGGCCCAGCCTGATCAGCCTGCTCATCCCCGCAGCCGGTCCAGCACAGCTCCTTGCGGCCCACTCTTGTGCAGCAGCGGCAGCCTACCTCACTGCCTAGCCCAGTCCCGTGCGTTCGCACCTAGGCCGACCTAGTAGAACAACATCCCAGCCCGCACGCCCTCGCATCCCAACGACGCCAGTGCCAACGTCGTCGTTTTTCCCCGCGACGCCGACAGGAGGGACCCGCTTGTCATCCCCTTCCTCCAACCACTCCCCCCTCTCCTCTATTTTGTGCCCAAAAGCAGAGCACCGGCACATGGGAAGGATCCTAGTCCCCAGCGCCACTCTCCACCATACGTGCGGAGCCACCAACCCCGCACGCCCCCTTGGATGGCTGCCACGTCGCCGATCCACGGCGCCTGGAACCTCGTCCAGCCTCGCGCTCGCCTGATGCACAACGGCCATGGCCATGGATGACGCCACCACCTACCACCCCTGTTCCCTCCTTGTCGAGCCACGGTCTGCGAAATTCGAGAGTACCAAAGCACCCAGACCAGCGCCGCAACCCCTTTGGGGCCCTCCAGCAGCTTCCCGACCTCCTCACCTACCCTACCTGTCCCATGGATGGTGGCTGCGTGTCCATAAGCACGTGACCCCGACGATCGCCCTTGTCCCCTAGAAGCTCCCTGCTCTCGCTAACCCTAACGGACCGCCTATAAGAGCCAGACCAAGCCCTCTCCCTCGCCATCTCCCTCCTGTCCGCCACCACAGAGCCCCTCCTTCCTCTCTGCCTTCTCCCCCATCCAAGGATGCCATGGCCGGGACGCCTTGGGGCCACGACACCACCGCAGAGCTCTGGGTCTACACCGAGTCCTACCGTTCTTTGCCACCGCGCTGCGAGCACAATCACCGAGCGACCTCGCCATCAAGCCTGCAACGCCGAACGCATCATCGAGCCGCACGACCACGGAAACTCCATGGCCTCGCCAAGCCACATCGCATAGAGACCTCGCAGCCACGGATCCGTGTCAAGCCCCGGTGTCGACACCACGTCGAGTCGCCATCCACCTCATCTCCATCACGGCCTTCACAAGCAGACGGTGAGCCTTCCCTGAACCCAAGACCCCACCTTTCGACGCCTTTCAGTGACCATGCCTGACCGGCCTTTGCGCTGAGTTCTGAAACCTGCAGCGACGCCGAGCCCTCGGAGACCGTGGCCGCCACGGAATGTCCTTACGTCGGACCGTCACCAACTTGGGCCTCAACCTCGCCCTGCACCCCGACCACGACGGCGTCGCCCTAAACCGCAGCCAAGAGCCACCGGCGCCACCTCCATCCACCAAGCCCGGACAGCCACACGATGACTTCCTGCACGGTGAGAAGCCACACGATGTCGGCCGTGTCATCAAGCCACAACGTGCCCACACCTGCTCGTCCTACCGTGGTTCTGCACAGGTCCGCGCGGCCGCAACAACATCATGGCCTTTGCCCCCGTGAAACCACTAGTGAGCCCTTCCTCGCCAAAGGCGCCTCCTTCCTCATGATAGCATTGTTACCCTGCGCCTGACCTGCCCCAGCCCTCGACGTCGGCAAGTTGCTTCTACCGCCTTCCAGCAACCTACGCCGAGGAACATCGAGCCACCCTGGAACGCCTTCACCTCGAGCCCAGCCACCACCTTGCCACGAGCCTGGGCATGGCCTCGTCGGGACACCACGACATCACGGCCACGATCGGAAACGCCACCACCTTGACGTGATTTGCCCACACCGAGCCCTTCCTGCACCAGGCGGCCTGCCTCCATCAAGCCCACCGGTGAACTCCAAGTGCCCAAGCCCCCTATTTTTCGCATTGGTGGACTACCCATGCCTGT